AAAGTCTTCAAATCTGAGACCCTTAGAATCTCAAAGTTTTTAGAATTTTGAAATCTTAACATCTACTCATCGGACTTACAGGAAAGGGAAGTGACAGAAACCCTCATGTCTTTGAATCTTCAGATGTTAAAATCTTAAAATATGAAATTCCTAAGTTCTCAAAATCTTAAAATCTCAGAATCTTAAAAGCTTCAAAAACTTCAATTCTTTAAATCTCGACCTATTGCAGTCTGAAAATCTTAAATTCTTAAACAAGTAACATATAATAAAATTCCTTCAATACGGGCTATATTATTCTAAATTCCTTAAACTCTTTAATCTTCAAATTTTGAAGTCTTGACATCTTAAGATCTTAAAATCTTAAATTCCGAAAGTCGCCAAATCTGAAAATCTCATAGAAAATCAAATCTTAAAGCCTTCGAAATCTGATAATGGATGGTAAATGGCTGGGCAATGGCCTGGCTGTTATAACTTTCAAAAGCCTTAAATCTTCGAATCTTAAAACCTTAAGTCTTCAACCATTGACTCCTTCAATTCCGAGAGTCTTCAAATCTGAGACCCTTAGAATCTCAAAGTTTTTAGAATTTGGAAATCTTAACATCTACTCATCGGACTTACAGGAAAGGGAAGTGACAGAAACCCTCATGTCTTTGAATCTTCAGATGTTAAAATCTTACAATATGAAACTCCTAAATTCTCAAAATCTTAAAATCTCAGAATCTTAAAAGCTTCAAAAACTTAAATTCTTTAAATGTCGAACTATTGCAATCTGAAAATCTTAAAATTCATAAACAAGTAAAATATAATAAAATTCCTTCAATCCGGGTAATATTCTAAATTCCTTAACCTCTTAATCTTCAAATTTTGAAGTCTTGACATCTTAAGATCTTAACATCTTAAATTCCGAAAGTCGCAAAATCTGAAAATTTCACAAAAAATACAATCTTAAAGCCTTGGATGGAAAATGGCTGGGCGATGGCCTGGCTGTTATAACCTTCAAAAGCCTTAAATCTTTGAATCTTAGAACCTTAATTCTTTAACCATTGAAACCTTAAATTCCGAAAGTCTTCAAATCTGAGACCCTTAGAATCTCAAAGTTTTTCGAATTTTAAGATCTTCACATCTACTCATCGGACTTACAGGAAAGGGAAGTGACAGAACGGGCAGGGCAAGGTGCCCGGTGGCCGGCTGTGTCGCGTCAGCGTGTAAATCCGGCCACCGGGGGGCTTCAGACCCCGTGGTCCGTGATACGGCCGAAGGCCTAGGCCCGCAGGGCCTACCTTCAGGTATAAGGCCGGCCGCCCTGTGCCGCCGACCACCGCCGACCATGCGCCGACCATGCGCTATACTTTTGCGCTGGGCCCGCCCTTATAAGGGGCGAAGGATTTACGGATTTGTTCAGGCGAGTTTTGGCGGCTTTTTGAGCATCTCCTCGAGGAGTCAAAAAACGAGTGTTTTTTGGGGGGTGCCCATAGTGGACAACATCCCCGGCATCACCTGCATCATCCGCATCCTTGGCGGGCATTGATGCGGATGATGCCGGTGATGCGGGGGATGCTGGGGATGTTGTCCCCTAAGTCGGGCCAATTTTGCCGAAAACGTGCAACCTGAAAATCTTAAAATCTTAAAGTGGATGGAAAATGGATGGAAAATGGCCTGGATTGAAATCTCAAAATCCTAAAGTCTTAGATTCTTAAAATCTTAAATTAAAATCTAACAATCAATCTTAGAATCTCGAGATCTTAAAATCTTCGAACTTAGAATCTTAAAATCTGAAAATATAAAACATCCTAAAGTCTTCGAATCTTGAAATCTCAAAACCCTTATGTCTTAGAACCTTGCGATCTTAAACTCTTAAAATATGAAATTCCTACAGTCTTAAACTCTTACTCTTGAAATTTGGAAATCTTGAAACCTCAAGATCTTAAACTTACAACCTTAGAAGATCGAATCTTACAATCTGAAAATATAAACATCCTAAAGTCTTCGAATCTTGACTTCTTAAAACCCGAATATCTTTGAATCTTCAGATGTTGAAATCTAAAAATATGAACTTCCTAAATTCTCAAAGTCTTAAAATCTCAGAATCTGAAAAGCTTTCAAAACTTAAATTCTTCAAATCTCGAACTATTGCAATCTGAAAATCTTAACTTCATAAACAAGTAAAATATAATAAAATTGCTCAATCCGGGCTATATTTTAAATTCCTTAAACTCTTAATCTTGAAACTTTGAAGCCTTGAAATCTTGAGATCTTAAAATCTTAAATTCCGAAAGTCGCCAAATCTGAAAATCTCCGAAAAATAAAATCTTAAATCTGATAATAGATGGAAAATGGCTGGGCAATGGCCTGGCTGTTATAACCTTCAAAAACCTTAAATATTTGAATCTTAAACCTTAATTCTTAAACCATTGAAACCTTAAATTCCAACAGTCTTCAAATCTGAGACCCTTAGAATCTCAAAGTTTTTAGAATCTGAAAATCTTAACATCTACTAATCGGACTTACAGGAAAGGGAAGTGACAGAACGAGCAGGGCAAGGTGCCCGGTGGCCGGCTGTGTCGCGTCAGCGTGTAAATCCGGCCACCGGGGGGCTTCAGACCCCGTGGTCCGTGATACGGCCGAAGGCCTAGGCCCGCAGGGCCTACCTTCAGGTATAAGGCCGTCCGCCCCATGCCGCCGACCCACCGCCGAACTTTTGCGCTGCGCCAAGCTGGGCCCACCCTTATAAGGGGCGAAGGATTTGCGGATTTGTTCAGGCGATTTTTGGCGGCTTTTTGAGCATCTCCCCGCGGAGTCAAAAAACGAGTGTTTTTTGGGGGGTGCCCATAGTGGACAACATCCCCGGCATCACCTGCATCATCCGCATCCTTGGCGGACATTGATGCGGATGATGCCGGTGATGCGGGGGATGCTGGGGTGTTGTTCCCTAAGTCGGGCCAACTTTGCCGAAAACGTGCAACCTGAAAATCTTAAAATCTTAAAGTGGATGGAAAATGGATGGAAAATGGCCTGGATTGAAATCTCAAAATCCTAAAGTCTTAGATTCTTAAAATCTTACATTAAAATCCAACAATCAATCTTAGAATCTCGAGATCTTAAAATCTTCGAACTTAGAATCTTAAAATCTGAAAATATAAAAACATCCTAAAGTCTCGGGGGATGCTGGGGATGTTGTCCCCTAAGTCGGGCCAACTTTGCCGAAAACGTGCAACCTGAAAATCTTAAAATCTTAAAGTGGATGGAAAATGGATGGAAAATGGCCTGGATTGAAATCTCAAAATCCTAAAGCTTAAAATCTGAAAATATAAAAACCTCCTAAAGTCTTCGAATCTTGAAATCTTAAAACCCTTATGTCTTAGAATCTTGCGATCTTAAACTCTTAAAATATGAAATTCCTACAGTCTTAAACTCTTACTCTTGAAATTTGGAATTCTTGAAACCTCAAGACCTTAAACTTACAACCTTAGAAGATCGAATCTTACAATCTGAAAATATAAACATCCTAAAGTCTTCGAATCTTGACTTCTTAAAACCCGACTATCTTTGAATCTTCAGATGTTAAAATCTAAAAATATGAACTTCCTAAATTCTCAAAGTCAGAATCTGAAAAGCTTTCAAAACTCAAATTCTTTAAATCTCGAACTATTGCAATCTGAAAATCTTAACTTCATAAACAAGTAAAATAGAATAAAATTCCTTCAATCCGGGCTATATTTTAAATTCCTTAAACTCTTAATCTTGAAACTTTGAAGCCTTGAAATCTTGAGATCTTAAAATCTTGAATTCCGAAAGTCGCCAAATCTGAAAATCTCCGAAAAATAAAATCTTAAAGCCTTCGAAATCTGATAATAGATGGAAAATGGCTGGGCAATGGCCTGGCTGTTATAACCTTCAAAAACTTTAAATCTTTGACTCTTAAAACCTTAATTCTTAAACCATTGAAACCTTAAATTCCGACAGTCTTCAAATCTGATACCCTTAGAATCTCAAAGTTTTTAGAATCTGAAAATCTTAACATCTACTAATCGGACTTACAGGAAAGGGAAGTGACAGAACGAGCAGGGCAAGGTGCCCGGTGGCCGGCTGTGTCGCGTCAGCGTGTAAATATAACCTGGCACATTCGGTAGTATGTTTTTGGTAATATGTCCGGGTAGCATTGCACTGGTTAAGCCCTTTGAAAGGTTGGCCTGCATGCTGTTAAACTTACAAACGATCCCACCCAAATCGGCTCCCTGCAAACGAGCGCACATGCGATTCTAAAACTTATGCGGTTTTCGCTGGCCATGCGTGTGCTCACTTTTGTTCTTCGGCTGGTGTGTTACCCTGGAATCTTGACTTCAGAAATTTCGAAACGTAATCGTACCCGAAATCGGCTCGATCAAATAGTAATTTGGGCAATGTACTCGCTGCAGACTCGTCGAAAATTATTGCTGGCTTGTTGATTTGGTTGTGCACTGCCAAGAAACCCTTCAATGACTTGATCTTGTTGGGGGGTCATCAGGAACTCCCAACTTTCATCGTGCGTTCTGACCGTAGCGGTACCTGTTGAATGAGTCGGTCGTTCATCTCCCCTTCAATGATCACCGGGTCAAATATTGTATACCCCAATCAATAACAGCCAGCCAAAAGGTGATGCTTAAGTCACCCAACAAGTGAGAGACCCCCTTTTAGGAGCCATCCTTAGAGCTTTGCCGAGAGCACCCTGCCTGACATCTAATTACTTCTGCTGCAAAGGACACGAGCGACAGTCAGCATTCCTTGTGATCTTTCCTAATGCTAACTTTAAAGTGTGTCATCCCGCTGCAGTAAATGATAGCTTGCTTGCTCGCTTCCGCCTTGTTCCACTCCGAATGGCATGCAAAGCGCTTTTTGATTTGATTCTGTTCTCAGCCACATGTATTGGCTACAAACTAGCATGGAACCCAAAAAGGGGTCTACTTTCCAAAAGGAGACAACTGTAAACATGGCCCTGCATTTGGGTTCCACGTTTCTCTGCCTCAGATCTCTGGAAGCCACATCTCGGGGCCGGTGGTGCCGGCAACCCCATTTTGAAACAAGATGGCCATTATGGCCACCATGGCAAGCCGGCCATTGGCCAAATCTGCGTTCAGCTTGCGGCGCCTCTCCTTCGAAGCCAGAGAGGAAAGTGCATCCGACCGGCAAACCGCAAATCAGCATCCCAACACGGGGTCCCCAAAAGGAGTTTAGCTGGCTGAAAGACAAATGAGCAAACCCAAAAAACAAGTGCAAAAAAAGGTTGTTCAAGTCTTGCAATGTCTCCTCTGGGTCATCAGAGCTGAGAACCTTCCACCCGTAGTCTCCGGGGGTCCCAGTGCGGTAATCCTCGAAACCTGCGCTGTACTCTATGAGCCCAAAGTACATCAGGATCTGAGTCCAGCCTCAGCCATGGTGACCTTGAATCGGTTCTAACAAATAGGTTCTTGGCGTTCGCCACTCGCGTGATTGTCTGGTGCAAGCTGGAATACGTTCATTGGAACCCGTTGAGGGTACCCCTCGAGATAGAATGCCCTCTGAGCGAGTACCATCAATGGGTTTGCTTGGTGGCAATTTTGGGCCCGAAATCTGATGAATTCCTCCGTTCTGTGGATAGCGCATGACTCCGTGTCCTCTCCAGCAAATGTGTCAATCATCTTGTCAAGCTGTTCTGACTTCCAAACTAGGAGAGTATCTTGACATGACTTAGGGTTCTTTTGGGTCGGCAACAGGGACTCAACTCCAGAAAGAAAAAGGATGATCTGAAATTGAACAGTTTGTCTTGTTGGTTTAGAGTTGGTACTCTTCTCCATGTTGTGGAAAATGACCAGCAAATGAAGGAAGCGTTTACCCTTTGGGACCATGGCAAATCACGGATCAAACCAGGGAAGCCACAAGATAACATTCGCTGTGGGAAGTGCAGGGGGTTTCTGGCCCAGGTACCCCTTGAGGATGGTTTGGAGTTAAAAGATGTTGAAGACCCTCCTGAGAAGGTACCAAGGGACGGTTGGGGCCCTGAATGTCTTCTCTTGGCCGACGACTCTTGAGTGCACCTATGTACACTGGTTCCAGAGTTTTCATACTTTGGTGCCCAAAAATCAGAAACGCATTCTGGGGGTCAGTTCTCGCCACTTTTTGGCCGTCTCGTTTCAGCCATGCCTAGAGATGGGACCTTCTGCAGGGCAGCCAGTCCGTTCGGCACATCCGCGAATTTCAGGCCCTGCCTCAGTCGACACATCCGCGCTCCAAAGTCTGGCAACCAAAAAGGACTTTCTTTCACCGGGATTGGACCCCCGGAAAACTGTCGTTAATCCCTCAAAGCCAAAGCGTATGAAGGAACTCTGGAATATCTGGACAAACGATCAAAACACAATTCCAAAACAAACTAAGTATTCCAAACAAATCTCAAATCACAATCTCAACTACTTCAGAACTATCAAATTACAATTCCCAAGTAGGAGACTTCACGGAAGCCAAGGGCTTGCAATGGAAAATCGGTTCGCCAAATATGTCGATGTCCGCGAATGGACTTTCCCACCGGTTGGAGTGGCCCAAGAAAATCCCGTGTATTGAAAAAGCTACAAACTCAGAACATCCCCAAAGTCGGCAAAACCCAAAACAGTAGAAACAAATGGACGCTCCATGGATTCTGATTCGTGGGCCGGTTGTTTTGCCTTATGTCACCTAAACATTGCCCTGCCAAAAGGAAACTCAAACGTTGGTAAAAAGCCAGCGCCAACATCCTGAAAGGGTACCAAGGAACCTGGGATATCTCAAGTCTGACCAAAACGACTCTCAAACGACAGACCCCAGAGTCACACCATTCACGTTGACTTGCATCTAAATCAGCTAGTCAAGGACATTACCTTTGGCAACTCCCCCAACAAAAGCATCCTCAGATGGTACTTGCTCACTGCTTTTCACCCTCTGGCAAATCTTAGATTTCTTGGTTCTTCTTGGCTACTCTTCAGGACCAACAAAAGTGATCCCCCTGCAGCCATTGTGTTCTAGCAATCTTGGTAGAGACCTCAGGGTCACTTGTTTCTGAGGGGGCCTGGGGGACTCCCCCGTGTTTCCGTTTCCGGGTCTCACGTGCGAAGCTGCGAGGGCGAGATGTAGCCTGGCCAGTGCCCCAGGATCTCCGGGGTCATGAAGCCCATGGTCGCCAGCATGGAAATCCTATGGCTTTGAGTGTCAGTTTGCAAAGGAAGGCCCTTGCCCGGATGCTAACTTGTTTTCTTCTCCCTGGTTGAATGGGAACGCAACCCATCCTAGACTCCCAAACCACCCTATGAATTTGGATGACCCTTTCGTTGCCATGGAACCATAGGGATGGCATAGGGAGCCACACGGGAGCCATCGAGCCACAGCCTGCACCATAAAGCACAAAATAACCCTCTCGTGGCCCTGAATCATTGGATTTGTGTCGGGAGGGCGCCGCTTTGAAAGCTAATCTCTGGCCCTACATCTGGCAAGTGCACCAACCACATCCAGCCACAAAAAAATACGGTAATGAAAGGGGAACAAAGAACGATGTTCCTTTTGTTCAAATAGGGCACCAAGAACATTGGAATTTGTGTGGTTGATTCACACCGACAGGGCATAATCGTTTGCTTGTTCCTTGTTTCCTGGTGTCCGCCCTCCTGGATGTGGGCGTCAGAAATACATGGGGGCTTCTGTCTAAGGATTCTCAACACTTTCGGCAAGAACAAGAACTACAAACAGAAACTTGAGCTTTGGAAGACGGCGAGGGTCCCGTTTTTTGACAATAACCCATGTTTCCAAGTGCGCGTTTGCCACTGAAAACGAGGGCTACTGAACAGTCCTGCCCACTTCGCCTGTAGCCAACCCGGGAAGCACACATCACCTGCAACCTTAACCACATCGTATATGGAGCAGGATGGAACCAAGCAGAATAGGAGCATATAGGGGTTGGCATGAAATGGAACATCCACACTGGGATGCGACATTGGACCTGGGCCTCATGGTTCTCAAAACGGGGAACATTATTCTAATGGCGTGTAAGGCGGGGCCTTATGCATTCTCAAGTTCAATCGGGTGAGATCAAACGCCAGTCATGGCCGATGTCAACGACATCATGGCTGTTCACATTTGGCGAGACAAAATTGCTCACCATGCGATCCGGCAATGCGTGACGGGGGGACCCTACGTACTGTGGTTGTTCTTTTTGTCTTTCTCTCAAAAGCACACACACACACACACTCACACACACACACACACACTTGAACCGCTCCTCAAGAGGAGAAAGTCACCTGGTCTCCGTGTTTTGCTTGTTGCATTCCCTGCCCAAAGCTATCATAGCTGTCATACTTGATCTGAAACAGTCCCCTCACAAACGTATCCAGAGGGACGAAAGAAAGAAACAGGCATGCCAGCTGCGGAGACATCCGCCCAGGCCCTGCCGGTTCGCTTGGAGTTTCGGATGCTCTGCTGGGTTTCCTCATCAGGATCCCCAAGCCCAGCAGAGTGGGGACCGACTCCATTCCTTGCAAAAAACTCTTTGCTATCAGAGCTGCCACACACACACACACATACCTGGACCATACGTCAAGGTCACAACCCTTGTATGGCTTCGTACATTTCGAACAAGTAGGTCCCCCCACCCCGTTTTTTGTTGAAGATGTATATATATATATATGTATATATATATATATATATATATATTGAAGCGAAACAAAGGCAACGCCGCACTTTGGAGGGGTCCAACCCATGTTAGGAATCACCCGAGAAAGGACGGGGTCAGACCCAAGTGGTCACTTTGCACAACTTGTGCCCCCTGAAAGCTGACCTACAGCCATTGGCTTCCTGGTGGATGACCCCCTTCTGAGGCTTGTGAGTCTGCTAGGAGTCATCAACTGGAACATTTCATGGCCAGTGACGACCTTTTCCCCAGTCACGGTCGTTCTTGGTCTGCTTTCGAGGGAAATTTGGTCGAGTCTGGGAACAACCCAGAAAACAACAGGGTAGGATTAACCCTCGCGCCCTTCGCGCGTGTCTTGAAATTGAGGATCCCTTTGGGCGGGTGCTAAAAATACACCAAACAGAAACTCCCGGATCACCTATGTCCGCTTTCAGCAAGTTCGCGGCTTGGGAGCGATTCAAGCACTTTATGCATTGCTAAACCACTACCAGCCATTTTGAAACATAGCTTTTGAAACAACCTGCTCTCAGTTTGCCTGAGGGTGCTGATGGGGGACGTCCTTACCCTGTTTCATGCTTCCTTTGTTTTGGAGAACCCCGCCCAAACGGACCCAGCCCAAACGGCGGTCCTCCCGTGCTTGAACTCTACGGAGCGGCGTCGGCGATAGGCGGCCAAATCCCCGTCGTCAGTGAAGCCCATGGGATCCTAACTGAGGCAAACAACGCTCTCTTTTGCAGCCAACTAAAAATGAACAGAACCAAACAAACCGAAAACGACGTAACAACATGCCAACAACAGCGAAGGGTAACCCCCCAAAAAACAGTCACCTGGCCCTCTACCTTTTAAAAAAAGGCCGTTCCTGTGGTGTCCCGCAAGACCTTGACCTACCCGGGTCTTTGTGGATCCTTCCTCCTGTGACCTTGTCATTTCTTTAATTGGAGCCCCTTATTCCTTTGCATCGCGGAAACTGAGACTAACAAACGGTTTTCCATGGGCAAGGGTCCTTTGGCCAGGACAGGTTTGGCATCGCCCCAAAGGAAACCTGCACGCTTTAGGGGGAGATACATGTTTTCAAAAGGGTAAAACAAAAGGCTGAAACAGGTACCCTTCACACAGCCAAGAAACCCAAAAGCCCAACGGCGGCTGCACACCCAAGTCATTCTCATACGCACCTCTGGCAACTCGTCGCCCTTTGCATGCAGCCGCGCAGGCGCAGGCGCACGAGGCAGTGGGGAGCGTTCCCCGTCGGTGGTGGGCGCTGACAAGCCGTCGCTCGGAACTTCGCGCCGGTGCAAGGCGCGGCGCGGCTTGCCACGGGCCGAAAGCAACCAGCATGATGGCAAACGGCCGCTGGGCGTACTTGAGCTTCGGGCACAAACGGCAACGACACTCTAAATGGTGGTTAGGAGGGCCCCAAAAAACACATTTGAGAACCTTGAAGTGTTCAGTCGGACACAGGAAAAGGGAACGCAAAGAAAAATGATCTCCTAGACCATTGGGCATTCAAAGGGATGGTGGTAGTGCGGTTGGGCCTACACGGGCTAAGTCGCATCAGCAGAAACAAAATCCTATCACTCACCGGTCGGACTGTCAGACCAGGTCACGGTCAACACTCAGTGTTTCCTGACTACTTCGGTGAGGAAACCCCCCGCTCCACATGGCACGTGCGCCCAATGTTTTGAGTGATTGGTGAATATGTTGACATGGGCAGCGAAAGGAAAACCGGGGTGTCTCCCCGGCTCTGGGGTCCCGGCAGGTGCTTAAAGGCAGCAACACCACCGCTCACAGCTGCCTGGCATCAAACAGGAAACCATGAATCAAACATTAAAAACGCGACTTGCAGGAGGGTGAAAGCACAAATTCGCCGAATTCCAGGTAGCCTAGTGGTGAAGCATGGCCGCATAGTCCTTTGCTAAAACTGCACCGTCCGCTGCTTGACCAACAGAAGTGGCCAATACATGCCAGGCTCACCTCGGCTGCAGTCAGCGCACATCGCGAGAGCCGTGCGAGCAAGGGCCATGGCCAGCTCGAAAGCAGGACAAGAATGCGCTTCTCTTAAGTACAGAACCCCTCTGGGATGGATTGAAAAGGAAAGCAAAAGGCAACCAACCACCTGAAAAGTCGATATATATATATATATATATATTTAAGAAACACGTACATATGGACATAAAGCCCTCTGGAACACTGGCAGGAGCGTCTCGTTGCATTCTTCCACTTACCGGCTGCATCGGACAACATTATAACCTAGAGTCCACTTTGTGCTCTTGGCGCTACCCTTGGAACTCAGCTGACTCCGGTCCCATGAGTGCTAGCTTGCTTCCCGTAGAAATGCCTCGGAGATCCTTGTCAGTTCAAGGAAGAACTTCACTCTAGGGTTGGCAACCATCCGTCCCTGCTGAGGTGGCTGCGCGCAGGGCACATGGATATGTGCCAAAACAGGGACCCCCAGCCAAAGCGATGTTCGTTGATTTCCCACTAGACTCTAAGCCACCTTCAAACACGATATCCTCAAAGAACGCACCCACCCCTGGGTACTGGTGGTGGGCAAACGATGCCGAATGGCCAATTCCACTCCAAACGATCCTTGCCCAGTGGTTTAGTGACGTTGCCAGAAAAAGGGACCCCTTTTGTTGGGGTTGACCACATTTTCAGTGGGGAACCCACCAAACAGAAAGGGGTTTAGAGGACGCCTGGGTGGGCCCTGGCAGGCTCACCGGTCCTCCTGCACATCCTTGTTGCCCTGATGCCAGCTCGGCAATCGCCAGAAAGCGCACAAGCGTAAGCTTTTGAAGCAATATGCGTGTCTTGGCGCGTCTCGATTTGTCCGACATGGGTGCTTGGGTCCTTGCTCAAACCTCTCTATGGTCATGGTTCACTGGGAGTCCTTACAAGGGTCAGCCATCCATTTTACCGGAAAGCAAAGGCTGAACGCCCTTCTCAACCCCAAGAACCAGAGGTGAGGTGGTGCTTGGAGGCGGGGTGTCTTCCCACGGAAGGACGTGGCCCTGAAAACCATCATGGTTGAACCCAAGGACTTTTGCAAAATCATCGCCAACTTCTTGGCTTTCGCGCTCGGTGCAATGTGCAACCCGCCACCGTCCAATGCTTCCCCCTCTCTCCGTCTGCCTGCCAAGAGGCTGCGCCAGCCATCAGTGCCAGCCTGAGAGAACAGCACCGAATCCCTGGACGATAGGCCGTTTGCTCCCCAAGGCTCAGGTTGAACTTTGCCTTGTCCCATGTCCTCAAACGAACAGTAGACCAATATTGTCAGTTGCCAGAGCCACGGACAATCTTTTTTCTTTCCCCCGAGAAGCATGGGGCAATTGGGTGGGGCCTCTAGCCCCTACCGATATTCGTGCGGACTCATAGCCCCATGCCCTAATTGACAATCGGCTGAGAATATAATCAGTTGGTAAAATCCTGGTTGTATTCAAGCGGTGCCAAAGGGTGCCATGCAACGATTTTGGAACATCCGACCAAATGGCTGACATTCACTATATTATAGAGTGCCACGTCCCATCCCAAGGCTCAATGGCAAAATGGGAATCAGGAAAAGCGCGAGCATGACAGCACAACTTGTTGATATGCTCGCAGCCCCCCCCCCCAACGCCACTCCTTTCCAGGCACAGGTGTTTGCCAGCGTTGCCAAAATGTGTCAACACAAGTTGTCATGAAGCGGGAAGATCCCCTAAAGCTTCTAGATGAACGGAGGACATCTGCCATGAAATGAGAAACGTACCCCGCACATTGAGTGCCCGGCCTGCCGACCTGCTTCTCCTGGGGCAGCACCCCACGCGGAGCGTTGGGCCCCCTTCGCCGCCGGGACCTGCGGATCGCAGCCTCTGACTTTTGTCGCCGGACAGGTTCTCCGCAAGAAATGAAATTGACATGGAACCCAAGGTGAATTCCAAAGGACTCCTCAATTTTGCGGTATGTTAATCTAAAGCGTAACCTCTAACAGGCTCTTGCTCGCGTCCAGCGCAACCCTTTGTTACCTGTTCGGGGTTTCTTCATGAGTACGCTCTCACTCCAGTTATTCAAGGAATGAGGTCTTAAGATTAAGGCCTTGGCATAGGCTTAGTCTGAGCCCATCAGGTACCCTCACTCCGACCATGCAAGCGGACGAGAGGGTTTTGAAAGACGAAAGCTTTCATGTTTTCGAGGGACAAACTGGGTCCAATGAAGTGACATCAAAATTACCGCGCACGCCTCAATGTAATTTGAAGAACCCCGCAAATGCAGCCTCTTAAGGTTTCCTGTAAATTTCTGTGCAGTTTGGGCTTTGCCTTGGGCCTCCCCAAAATAAGGCCTGGGGCTTTGAACAACCGGGAAAGGGCTTTTCCTCGTTTTCCTTTGCTTTCCACTGGGTCCAACAGACACATGAATATCCCATATATCATATTTGCTTGGCAAGTGCAGAGGGCATTTGCAAAGCCAATCGATTTGAATGCCTGCTCGGCAATTGGTTCATGTCACCCGATTCTGGCAAAATTCCAGCCCCTTTTGGCAAGACGCCCCCAGGAGACAACACCTTTCTGACATTCGGTGGTCTTGTGATCGATCCATTGGCCCCAAATATCACGGAGCGCCAGGTGAGTGCCAAACACCCATTAAATCATTGCTTCTAACATGCTCACAAAGCTTAGCCCTCAATATAACCCACATGCAACCAGGTAGAAGGCCCTAAAGTGGCCAAAGGGTGTTGGACGCTCCGATCCCAGCGCGGTTCCCTGACCTTGGCCGGTTATCCTCAATGGTCTCCTGTGCCTGGCTGCAACTGCATCGCGCCTTTTCTTGACTTGCATTTCTCTGGTCAGCTTGAACAATTCCATTGACAGGTCACGAAGGATGTTACACACAATCCACCAACCCCAACAAAGGCGAAGTTCGCACGAAAGGAAGCTTCCTGGGAAACTCTTTTACCCCGCGGAAGGAGAGGCTACACACGTGATTGTCACTTGCAAGCGAGAGAACCGTTTGTAAGAACCCGTTCCACGGGCCCCCCTAACTTGTCGGTCTTTGAGCTCCCTCTGCATTCCAAGTTCCTTCCTCTCTCTGAGCACAGTCCGACGCCTGGCCATACTCGTAGAGAAGTTGTCGCAGCTGCCTCAGCCACTTTCAGACCTAGCTTCAGCAGGGTTCTCCAGATTCCCCACTGAACCAGCGTCCCTGCCAAGAGAAACTCACATTATGGGCCAAACAGGTGAGGAGGACATCCCCCATCAGGAAAATATAGAGAGCCCTGTTCAAAGACACTTCTGCCATGGGTGAGCTTGTTTTACCTGGGTGAGCTTGCTAGCATGGCGTTTGCCATTGCCACCGGAGTTATAATCAGATCCTATCACTATGTTCCCTTAAACGTATGTTATCTTTTGATAAATGCACCCTGTTGATACAATTTCTGTGTGTGTGTGTTCAAACATCCAAACTCCCAATACTGAAATAAGATTAGCCAATGCTAAATCAATGTTAAACCAATAAACATATTATGCTGCCCCCAGCTGTTGAATTCGGGGCCCGGAGACAAAGGTCTGTGCGCATTGCCATTGTCATGAATTCTGTGGACAGGGGAGAGCCCAATGCTGGTAGGTGCTGGGACCCCTTGAATCAAGACCCTTCTTCCCGGAATATCGAAAGTGTGGGACAGTACAAGTCTTCATGACTAGGGTAATGGATACTTACCTTACAGGGTGAAGCAAAGTCAATTTTCAAGAACTCCCTTGTGCCAATCTATTGTTGAGATTGTCCTGAGGCCTTCGCCTACTGTTTAGTTGTGGCTCGCTGGCTTCCGAATTCCTGCGCTGTGCTTGCTCTCACTCTCTCAGTCCGGGCTGGGCCCGTTTGGTTTCCTCTAAGGAAGCCCAAAACGTCGGAGCCCCGAAATCGGAGCGCCGGGAACCAAGCATCTCCAGCAGCGTGCGGTAGCTCTGGGTCTCCTCGTTGCGCAAGGCCTCGGACAAATTTCCCAAGTCACCCGAAAGGTCGCAGGGAACTCCTTGGTGGGCCAGGACGATGTTTTGCAAAGTCAACGGAAAGGGATTCAAAGGCCACTGAACTGGGTGACTCACTTTCAGTCCATGCCGGGATGCCTTTTGCTTGAAACCAACCCTACTAGTGCTGCGTGTCGGAAAGTGCCCCTGTTCCTTTTGGTTTCCCTTTAAAAATGAACCCCAAAAAGGGTGGGGCCTCAAACCACTGTGTTTTGACCGTACCAGGTCGAATTCCTCACGCATCGGATTCACAAAGGGGGCGCCGGGCACGGTCATCTGAATCCACCTCGACGATACGACTCCTGGGCAAGTCCGGGTGTTGGGTCAACTTACTGTGCGCTT